TCATCGTCTACGCGCGGGTGCTGGCCCTGCACCCCGACCCTTACGGGGCTTATAACTACCTGCCTTGGCAAAGGGGCCCCCCCGGTGGTCCCCAACAAGGAGTTGGGGGGCTTTTTTATTCGGCCGAGATCGAGCTGCTGTGCGATCAAGCGTGGGGCAGCATGTTGGAGGTGCCCGCCGGCTCCCGCCTCAACCTCACCGGCCTCGGTTATTTCTCCTGCCATTCGCACACCGTCATGCAGGGCTACGCTTATTTCTTCTTCCTTCGGTAAGTCCCGGGATGGGACCGGGAAAAGGGGGGGGGGGGGGTCCCGGTGGTGGTAGTGGTGGGGTCGGTATCCCAGCTCCGGGGCATCTCCGTGGCCGGGGGCGGGGGGATGCGCTCCGTCCCGCTGCCGCCTTCCCTGCAGCGCCTTCTCCTTTTGCGCGTCCTCCCACGGTTCCATCGGGAAAAAAAACCACAAACCACAAAACAACCCAAAACCCAACAACCCAAGCCCAAATTCCTACTAGTCCAGCATTGCCGGGCAGCAGATGTACGGGGAGCTTGCTGCGGAGCAGCTCCTGGGTGCTGCTGCTGCTGCCTTCGGTTTTACGGTGGGACGGTCACGGCGCTGGAGAAGGGCCAGCGGCTGTTCGCCGAAGTTTGGCACCGGAGTTTAAAACCCATCCCCAAGTACTCTCCCGATAGCTTTCTCTCAGGGTCCCAGCCAAATCCTGACTTCGGGCTCATCGAAAGAATAAGAAAATAAACCACAATGTGGGAACAGAGCCATTGCCGTGACCTTTCAGTCCAAGAGCGCTTGCGAAATAGTACTCGTCGCTTGTTTCGAAATACTTGGTATATTCTTGTGCTGGGTGCCTAACGAAAAACAGTTTGATGCTGCCTAGTGCTCAGTCGGTGGCAGTATCTTTAAACATGTTTTACACAAGTTATTTATTGACTGCTCGAGGGAGTACTTAAACTCCCGGATCAAGGGCAAAGCGATGCAAATTCCGTAGGAACCATGGGCCAAAATACAGATTTGCCTCATCGTGGGGGTTCATTGATGTCTGCAGGGTGGCGGGAGCCTCTTAGGTCCTTACTGCTGCTGCCTGGTCCAGTCCTCTGGGGTGGAAACTGCCGTCTTGGCAACTAAGCGCCAGGAGAACTGAAAGCGGTGTGCCAGCTAAAAGTCTGTCTGTGTGACTTTGGTGGCATTTGTTGAGCCAGGCTGAAGTACGAGGGGTGACTTCTGCGGGAGGGAAAGTGCTGTTCAGCCTCACGGTGGGCTGCCCGTGCAATCTGTGTTTCAGAATGGATGAGAACTACATCCTCCTGCCGCACGGAGTCAACTTCCAGGAGGCGATTTTCCCGGACACCCAGGAGAACAGAAGGATGTTTGCCAGCCTTTTCCAGTTTTCTAACTGCTCGCAGGCGCAGCATGTCTTGAGCTTCTCCAGTGACTGGGAGATTCAGGAGGACAACCGGGTAAGGGATTTATTTGCTCTCCATTGCTTGTCTTCTAAGTGGGCACAGGTATTCCTATGTCGTTTGCAAACGTACATATATGAATGCAGAGCAGCAGGTCCCTGATTTTCCCGGTCCTTTGGTGGTATCACTGGCAAAGTAACACACTGGTGGGGAGATGTTAAACTCTGTTTTCAAAACTGACCTCTGTGCTAACTCTTTAGCTTCCCGTGGACCTGAGCAAAGCTTGGTACCAACCTGTTCGTGAGCAATAGGTTGGAAACCAGTATTGCTTGCAATCCTGTCCTACTCCACACAGGTCATTCCTGGCTTTGCTGTCTCTAGACCCCATTCTTTAATTTTGGCTGAAATGTTCAGGAGCAGAGCTTTGCTGCTTTACTTCTGTGTTCATCTCATCTAGAGAGAGCAGTGCCTGGACCTTCACAGACTGTAAGGGATTATTCTTGCCTAACTCCACATAACAGCATAAACATCTACTGAACTAATTGCCCTAAGCTGTCTTTGTAGCAGCTGGGGAAAAATAGACTGTTGAGGGCATGTTTTGTCTGAGTGATGAGGGCATGGTTCATCTGAATGATGCCGGCACCTACTTCTGAACAAGCTGAATGAAATGCCTCTTTCTGCTCTCATGGGAGGCCACAGCAAGTAGTTCACCCTCTAGGCGATCCTCCCTTAAGAAAGCACATTTTTAGTATGGAAAGTCCAACGATGCCCGTTGTTAGTGGCTTCTGAGCCCCTTTATGGAGCTGCAGTGTGTGTAATAAATGCAAGATTTTAATAAATACTTCCTTGGCAAAGAGGAGCAACCCGCAGTTATGTGTGTGCATGTTCTGGATATGCATATACATTTGCAAAAGTGGAACTTGGAGAGCTGTTTTAGTGCCAAACCTGGTTTTATGAGGCTGGTGGTTTCCACTAGTAGCCAAGAACATTTTAAGCATCTCTTTAGGTCAGGATGGACAGGACATGTGTCATCGCTTGCGTCTTCTGTGGATTCATCCAAGGCACAATATTTACATATGGCAGCAGAGGCACTGGTGGCTTGTTTAGGGGATGGATGGAGGGAACTCGGTAGCTGGCTGAGCCCTTTCCCTTTACCAGCTGGCCGACCACTGGCATACAAAGTTTGAGCTGCTGCATGGCTGTTTGGCCAGTGCCACAAACTCGCTCCTTGGGATGCCCCGTGAGTGAGTGTTTTCTCACTGCTGGTATTTTGGAGAGGGAGTGGGGAACAGTGATATTCAAATAACATATTTGGGGAAGCAGCAGGAATGGAGAAAATAAGAGAAAATGAATCATCTTACAATTAGATGGCAGAGCCGTAACCCTGGCTGGGCAGGAGGGGGGAGACGGAGAGCCCCAGTCCCAGCCCTGCCTCCTCCCTGCCAGCCCGCAGGCTCCCCAGTGCCCCAGGCAATGCATTTGGCAAGTAAAGGTGCTGCTGCTGCCAAATCCACAGGTTTTGCTCCGGGGGAGCAAAGAGGCATTGGGGGACCACCTGATCCAGCTCCCGGTGTCTGCCACTTGTGATGCCTCTGCACTGTTTATTGAGCAGCGCTGAGCTAAATGCAGGGGTTCCTGGTGGGTTGGTGCTCGCTTATGCCAGCGGTGAATCTCGCCGGTTAGCTTTAATGGAAATCACGAGGCAGAAACCCCCAGGGTAAGTTGCGGCAACCGAAAGCGTATGTATCAAAAGTGCATTTCAGCTGTTGTGCTCTTTGACCCCATGCAGCTGTGAGCAGACCAGGCGGGGATTAGAGCTGCTGGTCGCACAGACCGGGGTTGGGGGCTTTACATACTTCAACACCCACCCGTTCAGTGAATAAATTCAGCACAACTGACGGACGCTTTGTGTCCCCTTCGTAATGAAAAGTAAAAGCTTCCTCTGCACCAGTTAAAAATAGTTTGGGCTGACTGTGCTCCCATTCACCTCCTGCATCTGTGTTAGCCTGGCTCCCGGCGCCTGCGTGCCCCAGCCTCGGAAGGGGATGGCGTTTTTGGCTGCCATGGTATTAGGAATTTGTTCCCCAGCTCTTCCCAATGCAGGTGCCCATCTCCAGGGTGCAGCTTTCTTTAGTGTTTTGCTCCTCTCTTCGCCTTGTCACATTTGATGGCGACTTTCCCAACTGCCACCATGTCTGCTCACATCCCATCGCAGTGCAAACAATTTCCATTTCCAAATACGCTCGGTCGAGCTGTCCCGTGCTGGCTCCTGAGCCAAAACCTGCGGCGTGTGCCGGCTTTGTGGCACAGAAAGTGAGCATTACTCGGAGCATTACTCTTGAAGCATTTTGGAAAAGAAGCTCTTTGGGAGCCTGGAGACACCCAAGGTGGGCTTCTGTGGTGGTTTCAAGTTGTGGAGAGCTTGGAAAGAGAGGGAAGTGTCTTCTGGTGAGGCTCCCACTGCAGCGAGGAGTCAGGGGTCTCACTACCTGCTGCGTATTGACATAAATTGCTAGTTAAAATCCATCACAGATGTTTTGTGCAGTCAGAAGGAAGAGATGGAGATGCTGAGATCCTCAGAGCAGAAGGCAGCTGGGGCGAAGGTCTAGTTCCAGGAGTTAGTAGGTAAGGTCCTGCCTCTGGGCCTTGGCACAGCTGCGTGCAGGGACACCTTAAAAAGCGGATCTGTCAAAAAGCAGCGTGCCCAGCTAGGTTTGGAATAAAGGAGTGATGAAATTTCCTGTTTACAGCTGGATCCCATACTCAGAAAGATTTTTTGAATCCCTGTATTTGCTTATGGCCCTGTGCCCTACTTCTGATATATTTCTGGGGTGGACATTTTAAGGGGAGAATTCAGTGCTGGAAGCATGTGTGGTTGCAATGAATAATTCGTGTTCGCAGCTCCGGGGTGCTCAGCCAGAAGGTGAGAGAGCACTGTGATGAGTGAACGTCTTTTGCCTCATGTAATGCTGCTCCCAGGGAGAGGTCCCTTCTGCAGGGTGTGCCTGAGCCAGCTGCGGAGGAGGGGACCCAAAGGTGACCGCTGAAATTCTGTCCTCCCGCTTGCCCTCCTCTCTCTGCAGTGCTCCTTGCCAGCAGGCAGCCTTGTCCCAATGGGTGAAATGAGGAAAACTCTGAGAGCTCCTTCTCCTCCTCCTCCCAGCAAAATGTGATGATGCAAAAGAGAGCAAAGAGATGTGCAGGAATTTCTCAATGCACTGGGATGCGCCACTTGCCTCTTTTATTGCGGGAAAACCCTTTTAATTTTCGGAAAGCCCCATGGCTCACGGTGAAAGGCGGCCAGACCCAAGGCACATCTCGTTGGGGATGTACATTCCTCATACTGGGCCTGCTGCCGTGGCTGGAAGCTAATTCCAGCTGCGTTTTTAAGCCCCTTGCCATCTGGGCTGAGGGTCAGACGCTGCTTTCCGTAGTTTTCCAATAACCCCACAGTCTCATAAATTCACTCAGGTGCTTGTTCTGGCCACTCTGGAGAGCAACAGTAGCTCCAGCTGTCGTTTCTTTAGGCACTTGCATTTTGGCTTCCACATTTGCAGAGGCAGTAATTAATTGGGCTCCATCCTGACTTTTCTCACAGCCCCTTGGTGATGTTTGCAGACCTCCTGCTTTACTCTGGCTTGCTGTCGCAGCGGTTTCCGCAAGGTTGTTGCTAAAACCCCGAGTTCCCACCAGGCTTGGGGTTGGAGCTGGGTTTGTAACAAGTGGCAGCAACTTCTTGCAGAGCGAGGGGCCAGTTCTTTCAGCATGTTGCAGGTACCTGGGTCCCAGGTTTGGCCCAGTCCCAGAGCTGATGTTGGTGGAGATAATAACACAGGAATGCTCCTTTTTCCTTTCGTAGTTACAGTTTTAGTCAATTCTTCCCACCCTCTGCCCCTGGGAGAAATGCAATTTTTGCCTATCCAAGGAATCTTGCAGTCACAGCAGTTTCTTTTAATAAGGTGCTTCTATTAAAGAAAGGAACAATTAAGAAGTTATAAAAAACTAATTAAAATTCTTAAAAGCTCCATGTTTTTACCCAAGTCTCATGTTGACCCCCTGAGGGAAGACCCACAGACGTATCAAAGAGTTTGTAAAGTCTGACAGCCTCCTAACGCGGGCATGCCAGGCTGTCCTGTGCCAGCTGGTGTGCGGTCTCCGGGTCACCCCTGCCTTGGGAATCCACCCCAGACATCCCTTTTCCTTTACCCCCTGCTTCCCGCAGCACCCTTAAAACTGCTCACAAACCCCTGCGTGCCACCCAGTTATTCTCCGGTGCAGCCATCGGTGCTGGTGTTTCATTACTGATATTTTCAGGGAGCAGCCTTGCGACCTTTTCTTGCTCAAAAGGAGTCCAAGGGGTCAGACTTTTTTTTGGGAGATAGGGATGAGCATTCAGCCATGCAGCCAGGATCCTCCTCCAAGGATGGAGACGGGAGAATGGGAAAATCCCGAAGGCCCAGAGAGCATCCATATATGCCAATGCCTCTTTCTCACGACAATTTTTTGTCATGGCTAAGTGATAAATGACACTTTCCTACATGTAGGGGGTTAATTTCTGTTTGCTCAAGCTGGGAGGTGGGAATCGTCCCTGTGGTTTCCCCCCTCTTGCAGTGCCTGCTGCTAAGCCTGGGGGTGATGTAGTGGGCTGGGATTGAAATCTTGCTCCCCTGCAGAGTTTTACCATTTTAGTGCAAATCTAGAGGCTGTAATTTCTCCTGACTTGGCCTTCTGCAGGATGCTGCCATCTCGTAAATAAGACCTCGTTGCCCTGTCAGAACACGTGAGATTACACCAAAGTGATTCAAGGTCTGGTGATAATAAGGTCTATAGAAGCATCTGACAGCGCTTGTCATTATTTATTATTCCGAGGGGTTTTAACTCCTGGTTTTGTCAACAGGTTGATAGGGAAACGTGGTCTTTTGGCTTCCGTTCCAGCTTGCTGTGAGCTGCAGAGGTGATAACAACCTGGGGCTGTGCGGTGCTTCTTTTACAGGGCACCTTCCTCCCCTTTTTTCATGCAGGAGAGTTGCAAAATGACCCCATGTGCATCAGAATGA